CCCCAAAACCCCAAAACCCCAAAACCCCAAAACCCCATTACATAACTGTGCTTTTGGAATAATATCAATATTAAAAATGGAGAAAAGCCAAACTCAGTATCTTTGCAAAAAGCCAAAGGTCTGGAGAAACACTCTTGATGAAGAGTCTTTCATGTTCAAGAATGTAATTCCCTCCATTAGAGAAAAGACTAAAGAGGATATGAAGAATAATGAAGTAAGGGTTGTCTTTTAACTATTAGAAAGATGTTCGTGTTGATCCGTCAGAGGCCAATGTCTTTAAGTCCTTCCCGATAAATTCTATCAGCTGGGTTAGCAATAAGTTGTACTACTATTCCAAGGACAAGAAGTTATACACCTTACTTGACTATACAAAGGGAGCCAATGCTTCTATAACTAGCATTAAGCTGGTAAGCAAGGATGGCAAGGAAGAGTTATCATTGGATGATCCTAATGACATATCTTCACTTAGGGACTATATTAACATCAACATTAAGATATACTCTGAACATGACTCTGGAGAAATTGTTTCTATTCCTGTTAAGCTACAGAATAAACTCTCATCTGAGCTTAGCGATCAGATCGAGGGTATCACAGGTCTTACTTTTGGCTTGTTCAAGTTCTTTTGAAGATCTTTTGTTGTGGATGGAGAAAAATATCTCAGTTCGTACGAAGATATCAATGAAGGTATGACATTAATAGCCGCAGCTGGATTTTCGAAGCCTTACAAATTTAAAAGGTTTAAGAAGGATTATGAGTATCCGTATTGGGGGTACTCTATGGGCACAACAGATGCAATGAGCTTCGTCCCTAATAAGGCAGTTATTCTCTATGGGTTTACTGTTTATGCTTCAGACCAACTCCAATTCGAAATTAAATACAAACTTTATGTTGACGACAAGGTGGTCGAAGAAAATGAAATGACTCTATCTGATTGGGAAGACAAGTTTTACAAGAGGTAATCTTAAAATAGGATAGTCCTCTTTGATTTACTAAACTTTATTTAGAATTTATCTTCAAAGCTTTCATATGATTCCAGAAGGTGCCAACCTAGAGATAACCTGACAGATTGCTAAAAACTTTACAGGCTCTGATACTTACATCTCTACCTATTATGGAGAGCAAGGTAATGATTGGAATGATGTTCCAAATGATCATATGGGGCTCTGGACAGTCCAAGCTTCTCCAAAAAGCTGTAGTTCAAGTGTTTGATCTGGAAACTTCCCAGAGATCTTATACTACATCTAATCGAATGTTATCAGAAGAAGATCAATTTCAACTAAGTTTGGTCTTGAAGGGGTTTTGGGGTTTTGGGGTTTTGGGGTTTTGGGG